TTCCTACATTATGTTTATGCATTTATAATCTGAAATAAAAATCTATGTCGATTCACAAACCTGAAATTGGAGGTCCAAGAAGCACTGGTCCACATTCAATAATGGTGACAAGTCCAACTGCACTGGAGAAGCGATGAGCTCCGACGAGGTCCATCAGAACTTCAAAGAGAAGTGCAGAAACCATCCCAAACGCCAAACCGAAGAAGACAGCATAAATAACCAGACCCCAATATCCAGATGCCAGTGGGCATAAAAGGTGGCACACACCATTGTATGATACTGCAAAACTGAAAAAGTACTGGATCCGTGGCCTTATCCACCTGGTGTTCCCTATGAGGCCAGTTGCTGGTCTGATAAACATATCCACCAGAGCAAAAATAGAGAGCAAGAAAGCTGCTGAATATTCATCAATCCCTTGATGTTTTGCATAGGGAGCCAGAAAAACCACAGGCGCGAAAAAGCCAAAGAACATGACCACATTACCAATGAGATAAATGAGGAATCCCCGGTGTCTGAAAAGTGAGAGATCTATGAATTTGTGCACACAGCCCTGAGTCATGCTCTCATTTCGGTTTTCTTCAGTGAGGTTATCTGACTGTGCACTGGTGTCCACAGTTGCAGCTTCCTCAGCGGCTGCTCCGTTACACTCTGGTTGTTCAGTCTTTGGTTTTTGTTGTGCATTTTTGTTGACTGGTCTCATCAAAGAACCAGCTACACAGCAGTTCAAGACAATGGATCCAAGGATGAGGAAGCTCCCCCTCCATCCAAAAGAATCAAACAGAAACTGGTTGAGAGGAGCCAGAGTGCAGAGAACAACTGGACTTCCTGTCATAGCAAGCCCATTCGCCAGTGGCCTTTTGACCTGGAAGTAGGTACCTATGATCGTCAGGGAGGGCTGTAGGTTGAAGGCAAGGCCAAAACCTGTTAAAATAGTAAAAATGGAAATAAATAATGCATTTTTCTTGTATCATTTGAATGCACTGTACAACCAATGAAGATTTTCAGACAGATAAAGAAACTTTGAGGCTATGACATTACAATTAATAAAAGAAATGTCATTCTTGTGAAGAAAACACGAACAACAAACCTAAAGTCGTTCATCAGTAGCAGCTTTATCAGAAGGATTTGTTAACATTCATTGTCACACATTGTCTAGGGAGAATTCTGATCATAAAAATATACCATAAAACCATCATGTCCAACAATGGCATTTTTAGCTGCTATAACAATTCAATATTACTATCCAATATTATTTTCTATTATCAAATGTTTTGTTTTCAACTGATTACTCCAACGATCAACTGATACAAAACCAGAAATGTTAAGTAAATTTAAACTATTTGTACCATTGTTAGAGCTGATGTGAGTAGGTGATTAATTAATTAGAGAATTGCAAGTATAAGTAATTAATTAAAAGAAAAAAAAACAAACAAACAAAAAAAACCACACATATATATATATATATATATATATATAAGTAAAAAACACATACTATTTTCTGTTAGCAGCATCTCAGTTACGGCTTTGGCTGACATTTTACACACCAAACGATTTATTGATGAATTGAGAAAATAATTTGCAGATTAATCAGCAATCAAAATTATTGTCAATTGCAGCCCTAGTTATCATTTCTGACATTATTATGTCCATAGTGGTCAAATACTCCAAATTAAACCATGCACTTCACTCATGTAGAGTTCTGTGCCACAGTAGGTGGAGCATCTTTACCAGAATAAAGTTTAAAGTCTGAGAGGTTTGTTTGCTTACTGTTAGTAGGATGACCATTTAGTCTGGAAGACATCCATGCATGTGTGTATTCATATGATTTACAATTGTAAGTTAAGGTCTAACCTAAGTTTATGTGTTCCTTTGATAGCATTATTTAACAGGACATGGGTTTTTCATTGGGATTTGAGTGAATATTTAGCCAACATGTTGCACAGAATGGCCCATGTTAACCCCAACCAGGGGGGCAAACAACACTAGTGGACTGACCCTGACAATCAAAAACCTCCTCCTGAATGGGAGTAAAAACTAGGTTCCTCCTGTTTTAGCCAGTCAGGCAACGTAAAGCAAACATTACAAAGAACAGCTACAACCTCAACAAAAATCCTCAAAATTTAAATGAACTTTAGCTCTAACATGATTAGTAATGAAAAAACAAAAACATTATTTACCTCCAATTACTCCAACACAAAGATACAGATGTATGATAGTTTTGCCAAACGAAGCAAGCACCATGGCAGTGCTAACCATGACCCCACCAACCATAACCACAGGTCTGCTGCCATAGCGATTGACAAGTATACTGCTCACAGGTCCTGTACAGGGTAGAGAAATATCTCACTTTTTTGGTACCTTCTTTCTTTAAAGGTTTACAGCACTGAGGTTATATCAGTTTTAATTAAATAAAGGACAAAAAAAATCATGATAAATGTACATTGATCAGTCAATATTCATAGATACACTGCATGGGGATGTGCAATTTAAAAATGCATGATGGCCACTGACCTCCTGCGTACATAGAAGCGAGCATGACTGAGGACACCCAGGCAATTTGACTGTAGGAAACTGAAAAATATTCCTGAATCTCCTTAAAATAGATGGTGAGGGACTTGGGAAAGGCATAGGAGAATCCTATGGAGATGAAAGCGCCGAAGACGACAGCCCAGCCCCAGCCTCCATCTGGTGGCGTGTAGCCTAGATTGGTTGCTGCTGCAGGGGGCATGTTCCTATTCTCCGGCAGGCTAAAGGAGAACAAGTAAAAGTAGTGAACACTGTAAAAACAAAAACTGCATGTTTTCAAAGCAACTGTAATGATCATATAATGCAGTCATACATTCTACATATCACAAGAGCTCACCACTGTACAATCCTCTAAACCGTGTTGCCCAAGCTGTGAACCCTGTTGTTGTACCAGGCTATAGCTCCCCCTCAGAAAGATCCTGGACTAAGGCCTTTGATCTCATTACGTGTGCTTGCATGATAAACAGGAGTGACCACACACCAAAAAGGTAATAATACAGCTAGAGATCTTAGGACATATATGTATGAATAGAAAAGCTAATGTTGACACCAAACAAGGATAAGTATCAATGTAAAAGTACAAACTTTGGTTTTGTTTAAAAGTTCTTTGTGGGTCTTTGTACTCTGTGTGTGTGTTTGTGTCTGCTTGTGTGTGTGTGTAGGTGTGTGCGCAAGTGCAAGTGCTGGGCAAAAAAGATAAAATCCTGTACCATGAAATGATGAAACATGTCATGATATGGTACATTTTGAACTAGAACCAGATTGGAACCAGACAGAATGACTGTTTTTGGTTCATCTAGTGAATTCAATCCCTGAAATGTCAAGGTATTTTATCCCATTGCCACAGAAATCATGTTAATCCTCTAATGTAGTCCTGCACTTTGCAACGGTAAAAGCTTTGATGGCTGAATTTCATACTGCCTCGTATTTTGTTAGCATTCAACAACAACATATGCCTTGAGTCTTAGCCACAGATGTGTCATCAAAGCCTTGTGGGACCTGTGGTTGTTGAATACTAACAAAATAAGCTGTCTTTTATCTTAATTTAAAATTATGAGACGGTCCAATTTAATTAGCCATTACAGTAGAGGCCCATTTAGCTTAGAATATAAACAGAAAACCCCAGTATCGTGTTCCAGCTATTCAGAATGAATGATGAAAAGCGCTCTGTGAGAAATTAAAAAAGAATAATTTATCTTTGGTAAATGAGGAACATTACTAGCCAATGGTGATGAAAAGTACATTTATTCAAATTAAATTAAGTTACAAATTACTTTGCAGATTCAGATTAATGCAAAAAAAATTATAATCAACAAATACATTTTAAGATAAAACTGAATGAGCCCCACCTTTGCCTGTTAATGCATCAATAGTTATAATCCAGTAACATAAAGTTAATCATTTTAAAATGGTACCTTTAGTAGTACCTTTACTTTTGGTATTTTAAGTATATTATGATGTGTATACTTTTGTACTAAAGATCTGAGTACTTCTTCCACCACTGCCAGCCAAGTTACAGGCGCTCATTTATCATAAACTATGAATATTAATATTAATAATAGAAAACCTTAATATCATGTTTCAGGTTTTTAAAAAGATAAATGAAAAGATATACCCTATGAGAGACAGTCTATCTTGAAGGGTTGGGCTGGAGTTAAGCTTTATTCCAGACTTCAAATCAACCAGTGTATCACAAATGAAAGCTACAATGGGACACAATGGGACCAGCAATTCTTTGGGCTTTGTGGTGGATAGAGGACATAAGACCAAATGAAGTTCTTGGACCTTATTAATGAGATCCTATCTATTTTGTTTAGAATTGACTAGACTGGCTGCTGGGTCTGGAGTAGAGCGAAATGAAATAGCCGATTCTATAGGAAAGGCAATTTAAAAGAAAGGAGATATGGATGTAAATATATCACTGGGAAGAGTGGAAGTTAGAGGAAAAATCAAGGAGGGTGTAGAAAGTGTAGAATGGCCGGGATTGTGGGAAAAAGAAGAAGCACTAGGAAGGAAGGCACTATTTCTTGACATCCTCAGATTAAAAAGGTCACTTATTGTTATGAAACCCGGAGAGCTTCTGTTAAAACTTGCAGACTGAGGCTGGGGCAGGTTAAATAACTACTTGCACATCCACATGTATGTGTATGTATCCACAGGGATTAAGTGAGCGTCGGTGTCATGAAACAGTAAAACGTGTTTTCCTGGAATGTAACAAATATAATCATTTTCTATTAAATCTTTTATTTGACCAAAATAAATCACAAAAGCAGTTTAACAGTTCTTGCATGAGGCTGTCAGATAAATGTTTGTCCTGAGGAGGGCAGTAATAAGCCTATTAGCCCCCACACTGCCAAAATCCCACAAGACAAAGAAGAAGCTTCATCCCACTAACATTTGTGCTTCAGAGAACAGCAGCGGAGTGAGACCTCTCGCAGCAGACAAAGAGGAGGACACACTCCTCTCCACGCCTCCCTCCCTCCCTCCCTCCTTTCCTCAGCGGCTGTTATTAAACTGCACATTCACAGTTTGCGTGAATTTAACTTTCTCTTACTAAACAGGCGAATATGCGGACGGGAGATAAAGTTATGTTGTAATGCTGTGACATCAGAGATTAGTGTTGATCGTTTGTTTCGAGCACCGTCACCGGCCGACCTCTGTTGATGTTACTCAACCGCTTGTGTAACACGTGAGTTGTCGGTTTGTAACGTTGGCTACACTGGAGTATTGAGCTTGTGGCAAGTAAGCCATTGTGCTGCGTTCAGTGTATTTTATATATATAGAGATAGATATATGAGATGCTTTCCATTGTGAGAACACGGCTGGGCTCGGGTTTGGCCACATTGCCCAGTTGTTTAAATTCCAGGGCGGCAATAAGAGGCACACCTGCCCTCCTCTGCAGACATCAGCATCGGACCTTCAGCTCTGAGCCTGCAGGTGTCAAGGTAATCTTCTCTCTCTGTGTTACTGCATTAGTAACTGTAAAGCATGCACATAAACAAAGCGTTTCTGACTTTATTAAGTCAACATTAATCTATGTTGCTACTAATAAAGGCGCTTTCACTTTCTAATCATATGTTTAAGGATGATTAGACCCCAACAGAGCAAATTGTGGGACACTGTGGCACAAGTTACCAATGCTGAGAGGTATCATTTTGATATAATGTCCATCTAACTTTAAAAAATTTACATTTCTATTCTTCCTCTTAACTCCTAACATCACTGTGCCCTCTGGTTAATTCAGTAGCACACAATACAATACAGGTTCAGCATGTGAAGGACTTGAATGCAACTTTCCCACGCAATGTAAATGCAGGAAGCATAAAAGGAAGTGAGGGTTGAGGGTTGAGGGTTGGTGAGGTAGTTAATAGTAGTGAGGGTTAGTAGTTAATAGTAGTGAGGGTTAGTAGTTAATAGTAGTGAGGGTTAGGGTTCATATGATCAGTCCCCTCACACCGGCTTCACCCAGTTCATTTACCAGTCTTTGTTGTTGCTGCATTTCCTTTTCTCTCTGGTGCTTTCCATCACATCCCGCCTAAATGTGCACGCTTGTTACTTTGTGATTGACTCACAATTGTTCCTCTTGGGCGTAGCTGGCAAATACTGTGACAGGTTAAACTGCATTTAAGCCACATGTCCGCAGTTTGAGTGACATCAAACACAGTCACGTGATGACAACATTCCCTGCTTTCTTCACAGCCATTGGATGAAAACAAAGTGGGACGCACACCTGGTCATCCGACATATATTCAACCTGTCAGGCAGTGGTGTAGTGGTTCCTGTTGAGGTGGATGGTGGAGGATAAAAGCTTTGTGTTATTAATAGTGACTTGTAAGACTTCTTTTGCATATTTAACTCAGCCCCAAAAATAGGTCAGTAGTATTTGCATATTGTTACTTAACTTGTGCTGCCTGACTTCAGGGAGAAAGGATCATTATGAAATTAACATTAGCCACAGAAGAGGTGTAGGTTTTGCAATCAATATTTACAGACAGTGTTTTTCTTTAAATGATTATGTTTGATAATTACTAGGATGATTAAGTAATATGCTTGCATACATGAAAAATACCCTATCTAGAAATGTTTTTTTTATTTTGATTATGCACAACTTACATCTATTTTTGGACTACCATAATTACCCCAAATGTTAATTATACTACATTAGTATTTAACTCATTTGCAGTTATCTTCCAAGTAAAATATTAAATGTACTGCTAAAATAGTATTCTGTTGCATAGGGAAAAAAGTTTTTTCAATTTTATCAATTTGATTTGTAATTTCTAAAGGTTTTCATCTGATTAGTGTAATACAAAATAATATACCTCTTATGTTTTATAATATATCTAATTTCAGAGCTCCGTTGGTGTACAGTTTTCACAGTGTTATTTACAGTATTGTTGTCCTCCTTTCAGTCAGAGCAGTCGTCATAAAAGTAGTAATGGGTCCCTCTTTAAGACAAATCTGGCTCAAACACAAACAAACATTTAAGCAGAATGGACAGGGGTAACATTACTGACATATTTATATATTAGCTGTTCCGTGCTCTGTTTCAGGTGCTGTATGATGGGCTTTGTCCCATATGTGTGAAGGAGATCGGGCTCCTGCAATTTCTGCAGAGAAACCAGCCTGGGAAAGTAGATTTTGTCGATATCTCACTGCCAGGCTATGATGGAGCAAAATATAGGGATGTCAGCTACGAGATGGCCATGGAGGAAATGCATGTGATTGATGAGAAAGACGAGGTATACTTACAGTAGATTCCTCTGAATTTACTAGCACTTTAATAATGTCAAATCACCATTTTAGTGTATTATGTAGGTTACTGCCAGTTGGCTAACCTCCTGTGTATTTGCAGGTTCACCGTGGAATCCCAGCATTTGCAGTCATGTACAGTGCCGTGGGCCTTGGCTGGTTGGGTCGCTTCATGATGTGGCCACCTGTGAGACCATTCATGGACAAGTGTTATGCCGTCTTTGCCAAGAACCGCTTAAAGTGGACCGGACGTGGGGAGGAGTGCACCACAGGACGGTGTGAAAAGAAAACACGATGACTCTTAACCTCAGAAACAATAAAGTATGTTTAATAAGTTAACTGACTGTGAAGAAGAGCTGGATGAATACTGTATGGTTTATCCTGATCAGCCACGGGTTTATGAGTGTGTCTGGAAACGCTCCAAGACTGTTGTTACCTGAAAGGAAATATTGGCTTCCTGATTAAATATGAATGCTGTGAAGACATCATCTGATGCTTTACTTAAAAAGCATACTTCAGCTCAGATAAAATGATAGACATCTTCTAAAAATGATCCGAAAATGAAAATGACAGTTATAGAGATGTTGATATTGCAAGATACAAGGAAAATAAGATTTTCTGGAAATGGCCTAAATATTAAAAATGTATATATTATGTTGAGCGTCTTATTGGGATCCAAAGTATATGACTAAAAATGTATTTTGTCAGAACTGACAGATGAGCAGACAAAAGAAACCGAAAAAAATATATTAATCCTAACCAAAACAAACATGACACTGCAAAGAAAGAGCCATACTGCAAAAGACATAGAATGGCGTACTGTATATAAGACTGTCATACTGTGACAAATATACAGTGCAGAGAAAATAACTGAAGCAAAACGCAGACAATTTCCTGTTGCACACAGTGTATCAGATTGAGATTGAGTTAAAAGAAGATAGAGAACCAAGCTGCCACTAGATGTCATCGTAAGTCTAAAGTAATATCAGCTGTGAGCGTGAAATTGTTCTTGCGGAAGTGTGATATATGGCAGTCACGATTATTGACCAGCTCATGATTGACCTGTTGTCTTTTCTTTATAAGGGAAGCAGAAATGAGGAGTTCAGTAGATTCTTATTTATAGTCCAGGATGAAATCAATATTTAGTGGTTCTAACACTAAAGGTAAAAACCAAAACTGACTGAACTGGCACGATCATTTTAGTTCAAATTACTCTTGTAAGTAATTCTGACAGATACAGACACTCAAGTCTCGAGTTTGTAATCTCACAGGTGGTCCTGCTGTTGGGAGCAAGTTTCATCAACAACACATTGCCATGCAGAACAGTATGTGCTTGTCAAAGGTTATATGAGTTATGGCGATAGGACAGTGATGTTTTCAAAACATACTCTGTGATATAAGGCAGACACACGTCAGTTTGAGTCACATACTTAAAGTATTTTGCTTTGCTTTTCCACAACAGAAATCTAAATGACTGAGATTTATTTCTTAAGATTAAGATTAAGATTTTTGTATTTTTAGCTAACTGCCTTTTCATGGCATGGCTGGACATATAGGCTATGTCTGCTAGTGCCCTGTTTGTACTAGGTAATTAATACGTACTGGGTCATTTAAAAAGTACTTAGAGTTAAGTTTTGTTCTAGATAGATAGAAACTTGTTTCTAGGTCTCTCCTGAAGCCAAATATGTTACCCTTTTGTTTCCTGTAACTGTACATTACAAGTATTTCCTTGGTATCCAATATGTTCAAAAATATTTACACTGTAACTTGTGGGTTGTATTTTAAATCAGCGCCACATTTCATTAGATCTATTAACCACTACAGACTTTTAATTGTTTTGTATCACATGTTGTGGCCTGTGCTCAGTTTCTAAGAACTGCAGAGCTGGTGACCTGTTTCTGTTTCTGTTGTGCTGTGGTGTAGGAATCAGCTAACATCAACTCACTGAGACCCTTAAGTTCTTACCCCCCTCCCTAATTTTAGACTTGTGCTTCCAGACCGGCAGTCAGAAGTGACAGCACATGACTTTAAGCCCGAGTGGTCTTACAAAGCATTGGTCATGCTTGTCCACCCCCCAGCCTAGCTCAACCAATGAGATTAAAGTACTGCACGAGAGAGGGGTAAAATTAAGTATCAAAACACAGTGGAAATAGTGCTTCTGTCAGTTTGTCAAAAGTGGTGTACTGGATTTGAAAGACCAGGAAGTTGGTTGAAGAGGAATTGTGAAGACAGAAGAGTTGTTTCAGGTAAATCTTGAGTGAATGTTTGCATCAGACATTTTCTGTCAAGGTTAGAGTAGCTATAAGCTACTTTGGTTCATGACCTTTCCCCACTTAAGTGGAAAACAACCATAGCAGATGTTTGACTATTGCATATCCAAGCTGTTTGCCTTGCCTGAGTGTTTTTATGAATCTGCCTTATTTAACATAAAGTACGCTTCCGTTTGCTAAGGATATGAGAGCAACTAAGGGCAAAGCTCTGTGTTCTCTAATGTCTGTCACATTGCAGGCATACATCCTAATGCAGAATGTTAGTTATTTACAAGCCATGTATACTGATGTATTTGCTTTGAGGTTTCATGTTACATTCTTGAAAGGGGACATAGTACTTGGAAACCATGGAAGTGCAGGTCTATTGTGGGACATTAAGTTTGTACACAATCAGCTCACCCTGAACTCTCTCTTAGCTGTTTATAGAAGTCACACTGTGCCTCTGGTCTGAACAGGCATGCAGTGGAGATATAGATTAATCAGATTTACCTGATGCACTGGGCGCTTTTGTTCATCTGAAGTTCATCCCTATTGTTTTGCAAGGTAATTCATTTGTTTTGGTTTGCTCTGTTTTGTTATTGTATTCACGATTGGATTTAAATAAATCCAATTTGCATGTAATTTTGTCTGAACAACAGACATTTATAGCAGACATTTTTAGCCACAGTAGCAGCAGGGCATGGCAACAAACATTCATGGTTTGTGATGGTGTATCCTGATGACTTTGGGGATTTCTTGACTTTTTCTCTTGCACAATCTGCAGGTTGACATTGTTGGTTGTTATTGAAATGTCTCCCCAACTATTAGATCCATTGCCATGGAATTTGTTGCATTCTTGTTTCCCAAGGGATTAAGTGTAATAACCTTGATTGCTTGATTTTTCATCTAGTATCATCTTTAAGTCACAATTGTCTAATCTAATTCTAATTGTCCAATAGTTAGTTTATGATCAAATACCTGCAAAAATGGCATTCCCATCAGCCTCAGATAATTAGCAAATGTTAGCATGCTTAAACATTAAAATAAGATGGTAAACATTATACTTGCTAAGTATTATTGTCATCATTGTCATTATTGATGTGAGGTTTTAGCTCAAAACACCACTGTACCATAATAAAGCCTCACAGAGATGCTAGCATGACTGTAGACTCTTTGTTCTGTGTATTTTCCTAGATTCCTGTTGAAAATGCTGCTCTGGCCTAAATCAAGTGAAGCTCAAGAGTGACATTTGGACTTTGATTGATTGCTGCTCACGACATCAGGTCAGACATGGGTCGCTACCTCAGCACCAACCTGTGTTCAAGTTCTGTGAACAAGACTTTGAGGTCATACTGCAAAATTAGGTACCTAATGAGCCTTCTCAGAAAGTACCCTCGTCTGGCCAAAGCACCACTCTGCCGGGACCTTCACAGAAATTCACTGCTGTCACCTCCTCACCCTTCCAGATTTACAAGAAAAGCTACTTTTAAAAATTTTAACCACAGTGATACAGATTCTACCTCCCACCACTTACTTAGAGATTTTACCGAAGTGAAACATCTCCAGTTTGTGCGTTTTTACTCATCCTCTAATAGGAATACATTCAAAGCTGCAGCTCCAATTGGGATCTTTGAGGAGGCTCAGAACAGTTTTAATTTGAGTTCCCTAGGAGGACGTCTTGGTCAGTCATTTAATCGATTGTCCAGATACATTAACATTTATTTCAAGAGAAAGGACGCTGAACTTCTAGTAGAAAATGACGGTTTTGATGTAACATCTCCAGGATATCTTGGCAGGTCACAGAGGCGTACTCAAAGTCAACGAGCAGCCAGAGAGCGAAAAATATCTGAGGGCAAAGACACAAAGCAGACCTTAAAAAACACACAGGAAATGGATGGAGGAGGAACAAGTCCTTCAACACAGGGAAATTCTGGGCTGGAACTATTTCACAACAGCTCTTTGGCGACAACATTTGGAGAGAGCTACAGTTATGTTGCTAATCACATTAATTCGGTCTTCTCTCGCAGTTTTGTAAAAGTTCAAATGCAGGAGAATTTGGAAACCGAGTCTTCCACCAGAGGGATAAACAGGAGGCAGAAGAGGAAAAAAATGCAAAATACTTACGTAATAAACTCTCAAGAGGCAGAAATGTCTCAAGTAAAATCGGGCTGTGAGAAGGCGGCAGTGGAATCGAACAATATCTCTAGCAGCTGGGAGGAGGGCTACCTTCTCTTTGCAAGACACATCAATAAATACTTTGGTGCCAAGGTTACTGATAACCAAAATCAGCAAAATAATAGCACTTACAAAAAACACTTATCAGCACAATCTACCTCACAAACTCAAGGTGCAATACCACAGCTAAAGAATAGAGAGCCTATCATCCCTGAAACTGGAAACATTTTCCACAGCAGTCGTAATACCACTAACTTTGGGGAGAACTATTTCCAAACGGCTGGTCACATCAATAAATATTTCAAGGGTCAAAGTGGATTGGATGAGGATGTTGATAAAAATCCCCTAATAGAGATGGACCCTGGATCTGCTACGTCTGAGAAACTGAAGACTGTGTCATTTATGGACTACCTTCTCCACCCCACAAGTGCCATCCCTGACTTGCTGGGTACCTATCTAAAACTGGGCCCCTTGACCCAGACTAGTAAGCCCAAGCCTGCCATGACTTCACCAAAGGCAATATTGTATAAAAAGGTGAGAAAGCTACACAGCATGTCCCTTATATCATGAACTGACATGTCTAATTATTTGACTTATCTCATTCTTCAAGCTGGTATAGCATTGCAAACTGTATTGCAAATGTTTATAACTAATATTCTGGTTGTATGCTCTCAGCTTGTCTTGAGTCGGAGGCAGGCAGAGGAAATGACACGAGGGTTGATTGGCAGTCTGGTACAAGCTTCATCTCCAGAAGCTCTGACTGCCTGTGTGGAGGCACTCAATGAACACCTTATTCGTTATCCATCATGCAAAGCTTTAATGTGGCAGGTCTGTTGAAAGTGAAACAATCACATTTACAAATGTGTAACTGATTTGAGCTTTGTGACTTATAAACAATGTTTCTGTTTCCAGGAGAAAATTGCAGTCACATTGTTGAAAAAGCGACGAACCTACAGAGATAACCAGGTGCTTCAGAGCACCTTAAGAGAAACCTTGGCTCTGATCGGCTATGTGGATCCAGTGAAAGGCCGTGGCATCAGAGTGCTCTCAATTGATGGTGGTGGCACAAGGTAACTTCAAGAAAATGGATGATTAATGAATGATAACCCTTCATGCTGTACACAGAACTAGAGCTGCAACTTATTTTAATAATCAATTATGATAATGATTAGTTGTTTTGTCTATACAATCTCATAAAAATTGTGAAAAATGTCCATCAAATCTTCAAGTTGCTTGTTTCATCCAACCAACAGCTCAAAACCCAAATATATATAGTTTACTATCATATGTGACGCAGGCAAAAAGTAGCCAACCCTCACATTTTCAAAGCTGGAAGCAGGGAATGTTTGAAAAACTACTCAAAGGATTAATCATTTATCGGAATAGTTGCTGATCAACTAACTTCGGCTCAACCCAGAACCTTGTTTAAGATAGTGTTAGATCTGTATGTAACTACATATTTTATAGTCATGACCAAAACCCAGTGTAACACACACTTTTTTCAGCTCTTCATGATATGTTAATTCTTCTTAATTGTATCACTTGTCTTTGCCTTTTCCAGAGGCGTGGTGCCTTTGCAGGTGTTAAAGCTACTGGAAGCTGAGACAGGCAAGAAGATCCACCAGCTGTTTGACTACATCTGTGGAGTGAGCACAGGTAACAGAGTTACTAAAAATAACAATATATTGTATTCTCTATCTTTCTCAGTTTGAATCTATAATTTCTTGTCTCACTTATGTATCTCTGCATGTGTTTTATCAAAGGTGCCGTTCTAGCCTTCATGCTGGGTCTGGCACATTTTTCTCTGGAGGAGTGTGCTGAAATGTATCGTCGTTTTGGCTCTGAAGTGTTTCGGCAGAACCGGTTGGTTGGCACCATGAAAATGGGCTGGAGTCACTCTTACTATAGCACTGAGACCTGGGAGACAATACTACGGTACACACAGAGTAGAATACAAGAGTTTCAGTGAATGTAGTAAATTCTCCACATGTTAATATGAGAGCAATACAATCTAGTTTGACAGATTTTTCTGTTTTTATCCTATCTAGGGAAAAGCTGGGAAATAGAGTACTTATTAAAACAGCCAGAAATGAGCTGAGTCCCAAGGTAAGAATACTGCACTTGTTGAATGGGATACTATGATGATGACATTTTATATCCAAAAAAGGAACAGAAGGGGAGATCGTAACCATATTTCACATTTGGTCGGACACTGAATTGGTAACTTTTTAGCTATAATGTAGGAATAACGTGTACCTGTTTAGTCAATACATCTATGCTAATTCTTTATTAATCAGGTAAAACATTTATATTCACTGAAATCATATGTATCAGTAGTGATAACTATATAGTGATAAGCCAAAAAATATGTAACTCTTCACCACATACTATGAATCTGGACAGACAGGCATACAACAGTAACCCATTAATTTGTTGTCAAGCCTTAAAACTGCAGTTTGCATAGGTTTTGTAAAACCTTTATTGCTGTCTCTTCAGGTTTCAGCAGTCAGCGCAGTGGTAAACTGGGGTACCAGTCCAAAGGCCTTCGTCTTCCGCAACTACAACCACAAACCAGGCTCTCTCAGCCGCTATGCAGGAGGCTCAGGCTGCCAGATGTGGCAGGCAGTGCGAGCATCATCAGCTGCCCCAGGATACTTCCAGGAGTTTCTCTTACAAAGTGACATTCACCAGGTAGATGTGGAAGATTATGTTACTAAAGACCCATTTATATGTGAGTGGAATATGTGGGGATGTGATAAATGAATGGTAAGGGAGAATGTGGGGAGAAGCTACCTTCCCCTTGATAAGATAAAGTCTGCAAAACCTTCTCCCCCAATACCTCAAAATAATATAAATATATAATAGTTACAATATAATAGAGTACAATTTGTTTATTAATTAATAGCTTAAACTGCATTTTAAGATGGTGCAACCCATTTATAAGAAGGAGAAGATAACTTTACTAATCCCCAATGGGGAAATTATTTTTTCACAGATTTTCTGCATTTGACCAAACACACCTTTATGACCTGTGGTGCGCATTAAAGCTATTTTTGATCAACCTTAAATGAAAAAAAGGAAAGAATTAAATGAAAAATAAATATCGGAAGAGAAAAAAGTTAAAAGACCTGTCTCTATGTCACACCTAAGCAAAAAGAAAATAAAACAGAACCGTCCCCATTTTCTGCCCTACTGATAATGTTCATATAGTTCTTAAATTAAATCAACTGTTTTGATATTACAGTTATGCCATACTAAGTTGTTGAGTAGGATTATATATATTTAAGCTTTTATTTAACTAAGTAGAAAAATAAGAATCACGATATTCACGAATTAAACAAAATACTTGACTTGTACACTTTTTATTTATTTCTGCATCTTTGTAGGATGGTGGAATTATCCTGAACAATCCCTGTGCTTTGGCTGTCCATGAGAGCCGTCTGTTGTGGCCCAACCAGTCCTTCCAGTGTGTGCTGTCCCTTGGCACTGGTCGATTTGACAACGTTAAAAGGGGAACTGCCACCTCCACCAGCCTGAGGGCCAAAATCAGCAACCTGATCTGCAGTGCTACTGACACTGAAGGGGTTCACACCCTTTTGGACGATCTGCTGGCTCCAGACGTGTACTTCCGCTTTAACCCCATGTTGAGTGCTGTGGTGTCGCTGGACGAGAGCCGGCCTCAGGCCCTGAACCAGCTGCAGAGAGACACCCAGAACTACCTGGAGAGAAACCGGCCCAAACTGGCAAGGCTTTGTTTGGTGCTCGGGGCAGAGCGCTCTGCTGTTATCAGAACTAAGGACTGGATGAGTGAAAGGGCCTGGGAGATGAAGCAGAGATGGGTGTGAGTAGGTTTAGGGTTTTTGTCTACACGTAAACGCATACCACATTCACTGATGCACACATAAACAGTACAGTGTGGAAAAAATAACAGAAACTCTTTAAATTACAACAATTTTGTGATCCCCTGACCCTTCCTTTAGCACCACCATGAGCTTGACTTTTTTGATTTTGAGTGAAATGTCATGATAACTATTGAATGGCTTGCCCTGAAACACGGGGATGAATTATAACAACTTAGATAATAATAGATCTCTTAACTTTTCATCTTATGCCATCATCAGGTCAGTTTGTTAATTCACATCAGCCTCTGCTGTATTTTGTGTTAGTGTTAATTAGCAAATGCTATTATGAGAAAGTAAGTATACAGACTTTAGAATTTAGCCTAAAACATTGCTATGACTAAATACAGTATTCAAGTGCCACTATTAAGACTATGGACCTTCAGTAAGTCTACACAGGAGGCTTTTCATATGCATCAATTTTCTTTTGTTTTACGCACATAACTACCATGATTGTGTGTTGGCCAAAACACAATGACTTACTACACCCAGTAAAGTGCTTGAACACATCCTGTGTAGACAGACAAAACACTGCTGTGGCCGCTTTCACTATGCAGGCTGTGTATGTAGGCACGCTGTCGGTTCGGCCTAAAGTTTGTAGTATTAACCAAATATTTTGTTAATATCTTGTCTACTTGAGAGCACAGTATTTGCAGCTAAACTCACAATTACAAAGCCAGCTACAGTGAGTATTAAGTTATGTACTGATCAGCGGCATGCATCCGCTTTAGAGGAAGTTGAACAATCTTCTTTTTAATGTGATTTTTCAAATAAATATAAGACTTCTACCAGCTAAGCTGTCATCATATCATAAGATGTTTCTGCTGTTTAGTCAACTTCCTGTTATACATGTACTGAATGTAAATCAATATGATATTGTCACTTACATTATATATATCATCTCATATATTTTTTTGATGATTTCTTGACATAGATGCACAGAACAAATATGCACATCCATGAAATAAGCACTTTCATGCACTTTATTAAAAAAGCTTTGTGTAATGTGCACATGTGACTTAATCCAGTATCTGATTATTACTGTATGTGAAAATGTTGACTCCAATATAAGCTATAAATCTTACTTATTTGTGACATTACAGCTGATGTAGTATATAATTTTGCTATTGGGCATTTTATGAGTATTTGTTTGGAATAAATTCATATTTATGAAGACTCTTTTCCTCCCCCCCCCCCCCTTTACTGAACACATAAAACCACCACCACCACTTTTCGTCAACCCAATAAATAAATCACCCTGCTCTTGGCAAATGATGTAAGACTTTATCAATGGGTGAGAAGCCATCCAATCACTTGAATGTGACGGGTTAAATCCCCCCCATGTGTCTGGAAGCTGTGCCCTCCCTGTCCACAATAGTATGACTTTGTTCCAGACAGAAACGCTTTGTGTGAGAGAGTGTGCTTTCGTGCCAGCCAGAGTGAAGACACAAGGTCAGTAACCCACCCCCCATCTAACATGCAGAAAATCAACAACACACATGAAAAAATACAAAAAATATTTGATCCCTGAAGCAAGCTGTAGTTGATTTTTGCTTGAGGGGAGCTAGATGACACCTAAACCTAACCTACCAGCAAGTGCATGACATGTTAATTGTGTTTAACTTGATTCTCACAGTGGAGATGACGTTATATGTATGTGTGGATTTCACAATGGATTTATTATAATAGGCTCTCAGGCCCTGTTTGCCAGGCATGTGACCCAGGCTTGGGAGAGATGTTCTGGGCTACATGAGCCTCTGTTATCTTGCCTGTCACCTGCTTTAAGATGATGGAGTGACAAATAAGACTAAAACCAGATGCTGCTGGAAAGGTGAAGCTCACTGTGAAGATGATGTTGAGAATCTACTGTGACAGAAGATGAGAAGAAAGTAGCTGTCTGCTTTTACTGCAAGAAGGGGGGAAAGGGACCAAGGAGCAGAGTAAACAAACTACACTCAGAGGTAGGACCCCTCACATTCACTAATTATACTACTACTATTACTATGTTACTATTGAATATTAGTTTATGGATATAAAGGACACAGTATTAGAGCGCATTAAGACACTTCAGAGTAGAATTGAGTGTTGAATCACCATGTGAAGAAGTGCTTTAGTCCTCATAGCTGTCGTTCAAGACGCCTATCAATGGAAGTCAAGGTTTTAATGATGTCATAGTCTGAGTTGAGAAGTGGGATGGGTCTACAACTGCCTCAGCAGATTTGTATGACAGTGAACACAATATTGTTCAGCTTTCTCACCTGCCATTGAGATGACTGACATGAATTTGCACCATTTTCTATGTGTCAGTGTTAAGAGACAGTGACAAATGTGATGTGGACTTTATGAACCAGCCTACTTATCTATACTATAGTAGTTTACTACAATGATGCACATTTATAGCAATAAATGTCCATCTGTCTTTCAATTTTAGCTGTTCTAACAGCTCAGTTCTATGGTGTGACAATGTCTGTCTGTCAATTGGTCCACCACTTCATTGGTCAGGACTGAAATATCTCAACAACTATTTAATGTCATGAAAGTTTGTACAAACATGCATAGTCACTGGATGATGAATCCTACTGACTTTGGTGAGCGCCAAAGGCTAAAGCTAAAGCTTTGAAGTTAATACTTGTGGTTTTGAATAAAATGTCTCAATAAACAGCTATTGGTTGAACTGCCATAAAACATGATTCAAACATTAATTTCCCCTTCAAGAGTAATTGTGTTAAGTTCTGTACAGTGTAACCATAACAAAAAAATTTGTTCTTTTTATGACCAAATAGGCTACCTGCGAAACTAATGTCATTCCCATCAGCCTCAGGCGTACTTCGTGTTCAGTGCTAATTAGCTGATGTTTGCTGTAGTTTACAGTTTACCTCGCCGTAAAGTCAGAATCACAGTGCTCAAGTTTGTGAGACAATAATGTTTTAATTGCACAGTGGTGATGACGTGATGTAGCACAGAGTCCTGCTCAACGGGAATTTCTTGTGCTCTTGCTGATGCAGTGACGTCAAAGTGCAAACGATAGGTGCTCTGAGTCTGAACAGGCATCTTGTGTCCCTCCCACATGCCATCTGCTCTTATCCGAGCCCTGGGCACACGTGCCAAAGGAGACCCGCAAGCATAGAGACCTTCTTGTCGTCACTGAGCTGGCTCTGTCTGCCTCTCTGCCTCTTCACTGTGCAATCTGGTGCATGGCACTGATCACTGCTCACTGCCAGGCCTGCTTCAGTCCAATGTATGGGGGAAAAAGCCCATTCTAGGAGCCAAGAAGCTCAACATACCCCTTCTGCTTTTGTTATCTGTGTGAGGCAAGTCAAGTTGTGTTTCAGTGGTGAACATGGAGGAGGGGACCAGGGCCAGAGAATCAGCAACAGAGATGTGACTCTTAATGGTTTATGTCACAAGTTGTCAAATAAAATTATGAGTAATACATTTGTACAAACTTTCCACTTTTAAGTCAGCCTTATTGTCAGACAAATCTTTATTATAAGTTCAACTTCATAACCTCATTTTACCTCCCCCACCACTAAGCTATTGTTTAGCCCAGTTAGTGCTGGTTTGTATATGCAGCCCTGTGTGGATGCCTGAAAGCCTACACAGGTCAGGACTCTGTCAGCAGCCGTGAGATGGCTTTTGTTTAACACAAATGCAGCTTATCCTGCGTCTTTGGCACTGCTTCTAGAAAAGAAAACTGTTCCTTCCCTCTGTAGGATTTTCTGGTAATGGTATTGACCTTTTCCTCCTCTGAGGATATGCGTGTGAATGGCTCAGTGTAAATCTGTTTCCCAAAAAGGAGAATAAGTTCTAATTGGCATTATGGAAAATAGCAATAGTTAAGTGCAGCAAAAATGTCAAGTTTATTTTGTCATTGAAAAGAATGTGAATGTTATCTTATATGTAATATTTTATCCTTTGTCAAGGCTGTTGCACTAGAGTCATGTGATTTGAGATTTGCCACATGTAAAATTCATAGGAGAGAAACAAACATTGCTTTCATACTCCAATTCCCTGGTTCTCTCCAGTCAACAATAAAGCCCACATTTTGATGTCATCAAAACCAACAGGAATGCAAATTGTACAGAATATGTGTTGTTTTGTGCATTCAGTTGGCCCAACCAAACTAGTTTTGTTCACACGGGACCAGGTCAAAGCAAAAATGATTCAGCTCTGAGAGAGAAAAATGTGCAACTACTTCCACAACTGTTGGTGTAATAAATGCAAACATTTATTTAATTTCTTGAAACTTCACTTTGTTTATTGTGTGGAAAAACTTTGCGACTGTGTTCTCATGATGATGGATTGTTCAGAATTATGAGAGCCCGTTCAGAAAAGTGAAGAGAAGTGGGTGATGAGTGGGTGGTGTATGGCGCTCATTCATTATTCATGAGATGGGTGGGCAGAATGTAAGTGGCAGTGACAGACAGAAACTCTATTACTAAAGTGTATCAACTCTTCTAGGGTTCTTGACCTGATATTTGAAGGACCGATCGAGGCATTAATTGTTATACTGCACAAACAAGAATCATTTTGTGAAGAACAGTAATTGGAATTATCGGGGCATTAGGGGAAGCCACAGATATGGGGAGGAGAGAGCCCTGATTTGACTTTACATGAGAGAGGTAGGTACTGACAACTTTTTGTTTTGCTCATACTAACATGACTCATGGTTCATTACATATTTATAGTCATAATGTGGTGAAGAGAGGCATCTAATTAAACACTTTTTAGTCTTTAGTCTGTACTATACTTTACTACTGTACGGCACTGTGATTTAGTCTAGGTCTAGTAGTGGAGAGTCAGTGGTGTCAGTTTTTACTTTTTGTTTCATAACATTTAACTGACAGCTGTAGTTATTTTTCAGATTTTTTTTTATTTTTTATATTGGGAAATAATACATTGTTATTTATTAAACCTTTTTGGCATGTGATCCCTTACATGTGGCCCCTGTGTCAAATGTTTTAGAAGTATATAAGTTGTTAGCATATTCATCTAAGAGTGATTTTCCCTCTGAACATCTAAGATGGTTCTATTTAAATATCTGTTTGACACTCAAGGGGATAAAAAGATCTAAAATGCAAAGATGACAGAAAACGTATTAATCATTTTTATCACCGCTCAGATCTATCTTGTGATCCTTTAAAGGGTGCTTAACCCCTATGTTGGAAAGCACTGGATTAAAATACAAAACTGCATATAAAGTAGTTCAAATTAGCTCCACCTTAAACATTAATGCATCAGTACTATTACTCTATAATTGAATGAATAATAAAACAACACTCACAGGCACCATTTTTTTGAGTATTTTATTTTGATACTTGTAATATATTTGGCTGATAATACTACTTTAGTACTTTGTCATTTTAAGTAGGATTTTGAATAATTGACTTTTACTTACTAATGCCAGAATTTTTACATTGTTTTATTACTACATTTAAAAGATGTGAGTACTTTTTCCACCACTGTGAGATGTTCTCTTGTAAAAATACATATACTGTCATTTGTTCTGGTTTTAACTGCATGACATGAGTGTATTGTACAGTCGATGTCTTCTTTTGTCTGTTCTATTTATCTGAGAACAGGAGTATTGGTGAGGAAAAGTGCTGCTGGATTCCATGCACTGTGAAGATGGGGACACTGGTCGAACCAGTGCTGCTGCTACTTTTATGGCAGAGTGTTTGGGCTTTGGACATCCCTCTGGAAGGTGAGTCAGTAACGAAACTTGTTTTAATTTGTGATACGTATTGTCTAATCCCATCGATTTCTAATATACAAAGCTGATTTATTTCTCTGCCTGCAGTCAGGCAACCACCAACCATCATAAAGCAGTCAATGAAGGAGCATATTGTTGACCCCAAAGTCACCATGGTCATAGAATGTGAAGCTAAAGGAAACCCTCATCCCATGTAAGAGCTGATGTAGCAGAACAGTTTTGTTAAAACTGACATCATTATCTGCAAACCATCTCATTGTTTTTTTTTCTGTCTTTCTCTGCACTTTTCGCTCATTCATGAAGTTTCTCATGGAGACGTAATGGGAAGTATTTCAACGTGGCACGTGACCCTCAAGCATCGATGCGCAGGCGTTCAGGGACACTGGACATCTATGCCTGGAACAATCCAGAACAGTATGAAGCAGAGTATCAGTGCATCGCCTCCAATGAGTATGGATCTG